ATTCTTTTTATTAAATTGTTACAGAAATTCCTGTACCGTCTGTATGTAACGCGAAGAATGTTATTATGTGAGTCTTTTCGTAAGTTTTTTTGAAGTTTATTTCTGTTTCTTATACAGCGTAAGATTCCTGCAGACATCCACGGTTGTATTATTCTTTTAGTGCAAGGGATATTAGACACTGATGTATTTAGTTTAAGACTTTCAGTAATTGTATGTATTAAGTTGTTAGTCACAGCCACTGGATCATTACAAAATAATAATTCTGGTAAGTTTTTAGTCTGTAGGTATTTTAAAGCATTTTCAAAATTTGTAGTTTGTTTAATTTTATTATCTTTAAGTTGTGTTTTTAATTTAGAAATTGACAGGAGCATAGTAGAATGATCCGTTGTGGTGGTCTGCATAACTACAATTGATGCTTTATACTTAGATTTATTTTTTTAGCATGAAGTGATCTAAACAGTTTTGCTCTCTTGTAGGTAAAGTATGGCCGGCTAATATACCATAGTTTGCAAGCATGTCTAAGTAGTACATTCTGTTTTTATATTGCTGTGGTCGTTCCGTAGTTTGAGGCCTAATGTATATATTAATATCACCTGCTATTATAATACTGCTCTGTGAAGGAAGTGACTCAATATGAGAGTCTAATGAATTTAAAAAGTTTTCAGCATTTGGATTCGATGGAGACCGATAAATGCATAATACAGTGTTATTAAGAACATCTACCTGCAGGCATGATGCTTGCTGTAATTTAAGTTCTTTTACTTTGTGTTTTAGAGATTTTTTTATATAGACAACCACACCATCATTTTGGTTCAATTGGCGTGTAGTACAGTAGACTTCGTAATTGTTTAGTTGCGGGAGTGGTTTGTTTTGGTTTAGCCTACATTCTGTTAAAGTAATCATATCAGTTTCAAAGGATAAAGTTGAAAGGGTTAGTGTAAAATCGTCAAAGTTTTTATATATACTAACAATGTTTTGTGCTACCATAGTAAAATCACTTTTGTTAATGCGTATGCGCCCGTCAAGATCAGTTCCTTCGCATTCAACTGCATGTGCTATCTCAATTTTGTCTAATTCCTGTATCGAGTGTAGTGAGTCACCCATTTATGGTATATAAATGTAAGCCAGAGGTAAAGATATTATGTAGGTTTTGCTTAATTTTATATGTAAAGTCAATAAATTGTAAAAGGGGTCATTAAATTGTGTAAATATTATTAAAGAAAATATATTTGAGTGAAGCTGGACCATTAATAGTTTAAGTTCCTGAGTGTGTGAGAAACGAATAAGTAACAGTTTATGTAACGGTGAGTATATGAATGTGCTGTGTGTATATTTTTGTAAGTGTAAGTGTACAACATGTATGAGGAAGTGTAGGTGTGTGTGTGAAAGTGATGGATACATTTGTTGAAAGTTGCCTAGAGTTTCAGTATTTACAAGTTGCAGGGCGAACATAGTTATGTGAGACATAAACAAAACCCTCATAACAACAGAGTTAAGATAAAAAAAATTTTTTTTGATGCAGTAACCCATAGCAATAGCCAAGGGAAGGCATGATCAATATTAAATTTACGAATAGTCAGACTTGCTCTAAAAGTAACGTGTGTACCTGTTGTTCCGATTTGATCTGCACGATAGGGGACTGCTCGGTTTTACGCACATAAATCCTGCCATAGGATGTCCACACAAATTTGTACCCTTTAGATTTAGCGAGATCACGAGCCAGGTAGTAGAGACGGGAAGCCTTTTGAGTTAAATTCTCCGAAAGGAAGATTGGTGTCTCAGCGTGCGACTTTAGACCTAGGTGCTTTGCACATAGTTTGGTTTTGTTTCTTATATTAAAGGATTTAGCCATTTTCAGGATATCAGTATATAAAACAGAGCCGGTTTCTATTACAATGGGGATGCTCTTTTGATTAGGCTTTTTACTCCTTACTCTGTAAATGTCTTTGATGTCAGACTTTTTAATTTTACAGTCAATGGTCTCAGAAAGCGTGACAACCATTTCCAATAGGTCTTGTTTTGTTTCATTTTCCTTTTTGGGCACACCCTTTATTTCAAAATTAGACTTACGTGACGCAAGTTGTAGATCTTCCAGTTTATTCTCTAGGAATATTATATATTCCCTATCTTGTCTTGTTCGTTCCTCAAGGATGTTTATTTTTTGTTTCAGCTCCTCGTTTTGCGAAGCTACAAATGTAAGGGAAGCCTCAATATTTTTGTTTATGTCTTGAATTTCTTTCATAGTTAAGTTGAGTTGCTTCATCCTTCATCCTTATTCGAACTTACTAAAGTAGTTTACAAGTTGTCTCATCTCCATCTTAAAGTCTTCATATTGTTGAGGTGATGCCTGGACATGTCTGCGCAGGCGATCAGACACAGCGTTCAAGGGCGATTCATTTTCATCTGTCAGGCATATTGACATCTCTGGGTCCGACATTGCTCTATTTAGTGTTGAATCCATCATCCACACGTGCGCCAAAGCAAAGCAAAGTACCAGGCGAGCAGAAAGTGAGTAGAGTGCGCAAGCGGCGGGGCGGGATCTAGTCGCAGGTTAGCCAACGGGTAATATGTGCAAGCAACGAGGCGTGGATTAGCGCAGCGAATCAGCGACACCGTGGGCGGAGCCGACGCAGAAGTAGTATGCAAGCAGAGCAAAAAGGGGCGTGGTTTAGTTACCTTCTAAATATGACGTCACAGCAAAGATGTTTAGCGAGAGATTTTGATAACTCCTGTTCACTTATGCACTCCTATTTTTGCCTATTTATATTTTAATTTGGAAAATCAACTGACACAGAATAATAGTAACGTCCAAACCTTACGGCGGTCCGGGGGGAAGAGGATAGGTGTTAATATGAACATGGACAAAACAAAGATCATGTCTAATGTCTATGTCACACCTATGCCAGTAAATGTTGGGAGCACTAAGCTCGAAGTTGTTGACTACTTACCTACATATCCACTGTAAGTCCAACTTCGACCGAGAGGTCAATCGACGGATTCAACTCGGCTGGACAGCGTTCGGGAAATTACGACACATCTTCTCGTTAGCTCTACCTCAAACTCTGAAAACTAGATTGTACAACAGTGCGTGTTGCCAGTGATGATTTACGGATATGAGACGTGGTCCTTTACGGCTGGCCGTATGAGGACGCTCAAGGTCGCTCAGCGAACTATGGAGAGGGCTATGCTCAGGGTTTCTCTGCGTGATAAACTCAGTAATAAGGATATCCGCAGTCGAACCAGAGTAACCGACATAACCAACAGAAGTCAATGCCGGCTATATAGCTCGAACAACCGACAACCGTTGGGGAAAAAAGGTTCTCGAGTGGCAGTCACGTACCGGTAGGCGAAGTGTAGGGCGACCCCCCACTAGGCGGAGTGACGACCTGGTAAGACATGCAGGTAATCGATGGATGCAGGTGGCTCAGGACCGTGCTTTGTGGCATTACTTGGAGGAGGCCTATGTTCAGTAGTGGACTTGGGCTGTAATGATGATGATGATGATGACGTGGATGTGACACCCTCTACCATAACCCGCTGCCGGCGGCCTCGCGAATAGCTATGAAACCATTCAATAGCCGCTGGAGATATGTTAATAGAACGTAGCAGACGCAGCAATACGTCAAAATCGACGATGTTTAAAGCATTACTGAAATCCAGCAACATAAGGATATCACTACTTGCTTTTGATCCATACCCCAGCGGAAATCATCTGTTATTTTAAGTAAATGTGTAACCGTACTATGACAGTCTTAAATCCGATTGAAAGGATTCAAGAAAGGAGTTTTTATTTAGGAAGGGTTTAAATTGTGCAAACACTAAACGATCATGAACTTTTGAAAGGAATGGAAGGATAGATAGATATAGGTCTATAATCTGAGAAAGAACAGAGTTTCTTCTTTTTAGGAGGAGGATATTTGCATCCTTCCAATATCGAGGAAAGGATTCTGAGGATATGGAGTAACAGGGGGACTATCATTTTACGGCTAATTTCATCACATCCGATGGCACTTGACGATATTGACAAAACGTTCTACATTAATAATTTGAACATACATTAGTATATTTAAGTTGTCTCACGCATCTTTAAGAAATCTTTAAGAAACAAACAGGAACACTTGCAGAAATATAAATATAAAAAATAAAATGTACAGATAAACATGTACATATAAAATTGGTAAGTGTCATGATTTTGTTTTTGTATATTTACTTACAATTTGTAAGGACTATTGTGATTATTTTAGCTTATTTTATAACCCACAACTCGGGTTGACATGAGAAAACAGCAAAATATCTAAATGTTATGCCGGCTGTACACTCTTCTCGTCTTTTAATCTCATTTCGGATCGTCTGTTTTCCATTCAGAGTCTCGCTTACCCTCGCGAATTCTTCACTGTATATTCTCGCGTCGTTCAGTTTAGCACAGCACGTTTGACTTTATCATTGGATGTGGAATAACGAAGCTGAATCAAATTTTTTAGAAATATATCAAATCGAGCCAGTAATTGTGGAAACTAACGCATCGGTTTCACAAAGATAAAAAGACATAATGCGTAGGACCGAATTTTAAAACAAATTGGATTTTCTGTTTATGAATTGAAGAAAAAGATGTTTTCGATTATGGCCACATACAGAGGAGAGACACAAGTTGTAACGCGTTCATCTTCTCTAGGTTCGCAACCATATTGAAGAAACGAGAGTATACTGGGTTGTCACTCGCTTTCTTGCGCAAGTGCTCTCGACGAAATATGGCGAGAGAACTCGGGAAGAATGTATAGGCGCCATTAGTGTTTTAAAATATACTAAATAATTATAAAATCAGATCTTAAATTTTAATTAAATTATAACTAGAACGTTTTTAAATCTAAGGTGACATTTTAAGGCTTTTGTTAAATTAATTTATGTCAAACCCAAAGGTAAATTTGATATTTAAAATTTAATATTACGAAAATAGCAATAAGTTATTAAAAATGATATTAGGATATTTAAACAGAACTCACCTCCTCCACTGACTTAGCAGTGAATGGTAACAAAAAGTGCAGACTAGAGCCGAGCCGTTTTCCCTTAACTGCTCAGCGTTGGGGTGACTCTGAAACAGAAACACGTAGGATAAGTAGCGCATCAACATTGTTCTACAACTTACAATAAAATATTTTAAAGCAACAATTCTTTTTTGAAAACTAAAATCTGAATGAAATTAACTTATGCACGATAAAAATTATATAGAAAACAAATACAAAAATGTAATTGATTATAATTATACCTGATGAGTCAATAAACAAGGGAAGTAGGGCGCGTTGCCCTGAGGTTGGCCGTACAATATCCGCGCCAGCGTGAAGTCCGAATGTAACCCGCATAGAAAGCAATATATTGACGTACAAACTGCAAAACAAACACATTTATATGTAACACATTTTTAAACAAATATTTTTATCACATATGCACATACAGTCCACTTGATTGTAAGTGGTACTGCTGTTGCCCATAGACATCTCAAGAATCAACAGTAGTTGCGTTATCACCTCTGAGGACTAAGATGAAATGCCTTGTTTCCAGTAAAGTATCTCCGGTTTTCTACACTCACCATACGAAACACAGCAACATTAATGGAATCCTGTGAAAGCGTAATGCTTCTCCCCGGTCAAATCAACCTCTTCATTCTCCAACCATAATATAGCTGCAGTGATTAGTGCGATTCTATAGCAAAATCACACTAAAAGAAGTGCACTAAATACCGAGACGCTTACTGTAAATTGTAATCTAAAGACAAAAGACGATGCCCAGCGCAATTTTTGTTGTAGTGATGGTGTAAAATAATCCATCACTTAACCTCATTATGTGACAGTCTTAAGAATTGATTCTGAACAATGACTCAAATATTTTATGGCCTCCGACAGATGTAAAATAACTGCATCGAAGTACGAGATGCAGCTTTAAAGTTGGAGTCACCTGATACTGCGATTACTTATTCAACTGCTAAAAGAGTTGCAAAACGGTAAATTCTGGAGTGAAAATTTAGTTTGTCTTATGTAACAGCGGAAAAAAGACCAATAAGAGCCAACGTAAAAAAACACATAGGTGATGTAAAGAATCCACGCACAGGGAAGTCTACTTGCACGGGTAACCCCATTTGATTACGCGCTCACATCTTTTTTCATAAAAATAAGGTAACAAACGAATACACAGTCCACCGGATGGTTAATGTGTGCTGTGTCGCATAGTCATGAACACATTGATACCTTGTGCAGTCTGTGAACAAGTACAGAATCAGCCCGTCACTACATCAGATTTGATAGGACCACAAATCCTCGCCAAAGAACACAAAGTATCTCCAAAAATGATTCGCGAGGCTATCGAAATCAAAAAACACCTAATTTCAAAAGAGAAGTTGGCTGGGCACTACCACCTGCCTGGGATGTTATAATTAATAAAATGAAATCTCATCCCAAGCATACAACCACAAGACTTCAAAATACTATAATTTCATACTGCGTAGATTGCACCAAAAATTAATAAACTTAATCTGAAAATAACTTAATCTGAAGATAAGTGTTGTACTGCGGGTTTCCGTTTAAATTGCGCCCGAAAAATACTATATAATGCTTTGGTCCGGAGTAACTTGGAGTACGTTAGCGTGGCATGGAATTGCGTGCATTCACTAGGCATCTGGCATTTATTACGCAAGGCGTGTCACACCAGTCACCATATGAGCATCGTCTTGCCTTTTTTAAAATGAACTCGTTGCGTAGCCGTCGAAGGAATCAGGATATGGTGTTTTTGCTCCTGATGATGAGCTCCTAGAACGTGTTAAATTGACGGTGCCTGCTCGCACACCCCGACATCCTACCAAAAAAACTTTTGCCTTGCCTTCTGTAAGGACTAACCTTGGACGCCATTCTCCTCTCGTCAGATGTTGCGCACAGTACAACGAGATGAATATCGAAACATTTGACATTTTCCACGACTCGTTGATTAAATTTAAACGAAAACTGGCCGGCCCTCTGTGAAGAGGCATTTGTTCTTAGTTAAGTTTTTAGTGTTTTTTTTTTTTTTGTGAATTTTACTATTTTATTGTTTTAAAATTTTCAGAATATATATATTATGTTGTTACTTAATATCTTCTGTCAATGTTGTGTACGCCTATAATAGGTATATGTGTAAGGAATGTACTTTATAAATGTAACTCTTATAATATGTATACATGTACTGTTGGTGTACCTTTTAAATAAATAAATAATGACATTGGGACGTCGAATACCACATATAACTAATAAACGCGATAAAATCCGGTAAAAAATTGTTTTGTTTAAACGTCCTTTGCTTCCTTTCTCTTATTTAGTTATTTCTTCTCGAGGATGTTCTAAAGTTTAACTTAAATGCAAGTAATATCTCCTGGTAATCGTAATGTGATGAAATAGTTATTTTGTCATCGACAATTCTTGTAATATCATCAGCCACTTGGTTGTTTGTTAACCTAATCATGTTATTATATTTGCATTGTCAAGCAGTATATTACGAGCAAATGAAAACAAAAAAGTAATTTATAAAAGGTCGATTCCACATCTTTTCTTGAAGTTCCTCGTTTTACTTATAGTCTCTAGTTTAAAGTGAAACTTTGGGAAGGCATGAAACTCACCACTATTACTGGCGACGGTCCTATCCGACGTGGTTGAAGGTGGGGTGGGTATTACTCGCTCGCCATTCAACGATGAATTCGATGGAAGCGGCGATGGGATGTTGTACCTGGAACGAAAAGATAATAAATCAATCAGTATATGTTCAGCAAAATAACGAAAATATAGAAAAATAAATAAACGAAAATAATGTATTTCTAAATTCGTTTTAAATTCACAGCTTCATAACTTTCTACAGATAAATCGAATTGAGTATTGATCAAAAATATATAAACTTATTAGCAATCTTTGTAGCTAATAATCATCAATCTAATATTTTCATTATCATATAAACTTTTTATTTATACTATCAGAATAAGAAAACCGACCAAAGACTAACAAATACAAAATTAATCAAAACTACTACTACGTACTATGCTTCGTAGACAAAATTACCAATTTTATTTTTATTCAATCAATTAAATGCTTCCCTATTTAATTTAATAAAATAGGAAAGGAATTTTGTCAAAAACCTGATTCAAGAATAAAATTAATCGAGTTGTAATTATTTGATAGATATTTAACATCTCATCCTCCGTTGTATTGTTATAAAGTTTGATCTTACATATAGTGTTATATTTATAAATTTTCATAAAAATGTTATACGTGCTAAAATTGTTTGTAGAGCTACCTGGATCAAAGACATCGGGGTTAGGATTTTGACACGAAAATACATGGTTGGTTTTCGACTATGGCGGCAATTCGCATTGTCACAAGGTATCAATGTGTTCATGACTATGCGACACAGCACACATTAACCATCCGGTGGACTGTGTATTCGTTTGTTACCTTATTTTTATGAAAAAAGATGTGAGCGCGTAATCAAATGGAGTTACCCGAGGCAAGTGTGACAGTGGAGCAAGTGTAACAAATGCAAATTGTGCGACGTATACACGGTTTTTGGTTTAATTCCATCTATTAAACAACACTGGAAATTTTACGCTATTGACTAAACTGACAGTTAAGTAAATAGCTTGAACTATTTTATCAATAGACGTTATTTTTAAAAACCACTCAACTGGCAACAGACAGCGCAATTTTAAGGGGTGAAGTTATTGTTTCAATATGTCGTTAAGTTATTATAAAACAGACACAGGGTGAGTGATAAAGAATAATATTGGTACTTATAGAGTAATATGTTTCTGCGACCTGAAATTCACTATTTTTTGAAATACGGACACAGTTACACTCACCTCACCTAATAGTAACACCTAACAAGTGTGACAGTGTCACGTTTATTATGATTATATTATTATAAATTGTTAACGTTCTGAATTAAATTTTATTCTGCACTTGGCATTGCGTTTATTATACCTAATAAGAATCCAGAGCTAGTGTAGTAAATCTATTTAAAGGCACATTACTATATCGATTAAAAACAGTCACACTTGCCCCATGTTGGGGAAAATTCATTGTTACACAAAATGGACGGTCAAATCGTTACCATAGATCATAAAATCTATCGACGTTAGTATCATCTCATCAAGTTTGTTGAAAACCACACATAATAATAAAGTAACTACAAAAAGAAGCATACTGTCACACTTGCCTCGTTGATGGATAAGTGTGACAGTCTTCCACCTCAATTAGTTTTAATTACTTCAAATTACAAAATACTACTTGTAGATTAGTATCTATCTATGCATCTATGCATCATCAAACATACAACCACTTAATAATTGATGTTATGAAACTGAATTCTCTTATTAAATCCTTACAGAGTAGAAGTATCTAAAAGTCGATTATAGTTTTAATTAATTTATGTCACACTTGCCTCAGGTGACCTTATACGCGTAAATACAGAGCTACTCATTCATTCTGGTTTACTCGCGTCTGATACAAGATTATGTTATAAGATCGAAGGGCGGGTAAGATGCAGTATCAAAGATGCAAATATTACACCTGAAACCTTAATTTATTTTTGGCCTTAATTACGTATTGATATTAATATTAATTGTAGATAGTAATGAATAGTTTGGTTAGTCATAGAAGACGATTTAATGTTACTTCCTGTTTTACAAACTAAAAATAATAGATATTTTAGCACTAATAACATAGATTTGTCTCAGGAATTAACGGCGAATCAGCCTATAATTTTCAACAAGTCACAAGTACGTAATGTTTCGTGCGTGTGTGATAGTTCGAGCGTGGGTGCTTGCGAAAATGCGCACGTGTGCGTGCGTGTGTGCGTACGGTGCGATGTTCGTGTGTCGTGCACGTGCGCGAGTGTGAACGTATACGTGTGCATGCGTGAGTGCGCGTATGCATACGTGCCTGCGGTGCTCGAGCGGCACGCGCTCTGCGTCCATGAGCTCCCACTGGCGCGCCAGGTGGCGCACGCAGCGCGAGCACGCCAGCACGCGCCCGCCGCGCGCCCCTCCGCCCGCGCCCGCGCCCGCCCCCGCGCCCGCCGACACCAGGCACGGGAAGTGCATCGCGTGCGAGTTCATGTACTCCGCGGTCGTCGACAGCCACTCCATCGACTGCTGCGGGAACAGGCCCGCGCACACGTAGCACCTGACGTCAACACGCAAATCTTAACAAGCGTTAAATTTGTTAAAATATCCGACCTTGCGATGTCGCCAAATTATCTCAATTAAAACCTTAAACCAGCTATAGACTATGTAAAAATAAAAAAAAACTATTTAATATTTAAACTGGGAAATACTCCAGAAACTATAATATCTATCATTTCCTTTTACACATTAAATATACTAAATACCAAAGTAAAATATCGTGATGCATACACATTTTTTATTATAATAGTAACAATTCCTCGAATAATTTTAAATTTATAAAACATTTATTTAAAAGAAATTACTTTTTCCAATAAAATATAGGAGCAGATTTATACACCTGAACACAATGTAAATATTGGAAGAAAAATTAATCATTATTTTTCACTTCCTGGGTCAACACTACAAAACAGCAAAATGACACAATCACACAAAATTAAAGATATCTTAGCAGTCGCATATCCCAACGTCTTACTACTACTGTCGGTCATCCATATCAAAACCATTTTTTTAAGATATAACTGTTTTCTTTTTAATCTTATTTCTTCCTTCCCTTAGTCGATCTTAAAAACTACCAAGAGAAAATGGATATATTGTATTTGCTTATAATAACATCATACTATGCAAACATTATTTATTATCTACCTAACGAACCAAGCTTCTTATCAACATCAATCACATAAGAAATTAAAAATTCCAAACATCTTTAAAATAAACACAATTAAGTTGTCGTATTATTCTCTTTTAAAAATTACTTCCAATCGCGATATTACAAAAGTTAAATTTATCTGAAAAAGTTAATAAATATAACACAAAAATAAAATGAAAGAGTGGTAAATAAAGTTATTTCAATATGTACTATCGGCTGCATTCACCTGTACAATCCCATGCCATTTTCCCCGGAGATAATTTGGCTGTGTGGACTACTCGAGAGCGCGTTAGAGGGCCGCTTATTTGATTGACTGGAACTAGAACTCTTCATATCGTATGGCTTAAACCTGCGACAGATCTTTAAGTTATTTCCCTTAGCCCTGATCCTAGTCAAATTATAGAAGACAATAAATGCAAAATGTGTATAAATAATTAAACATATCACATAAATTAAATATCATATAAATGTGTATGGAAAAATACTTATATATAATACCTTGATAAAAAAAATATTAATACATGATTAGCGCAGGGTAATATAGGCCATCAACATTTTTCCGGTATAATAATAATAGTAAAAATTCGACATAAATAAACACCGTACGTAGGTAACAGCCACAATGAATTATTATTAATTATTCCCTTTTTAGTAATAAAAACTCTTGTTTGAAATATGGTTTATGAAACGGCTAGTCTTATAACAGAAGGTAATGTAGGGTAATGTGAGAACATGTATTACATATACATTTTAAGACCAGGCTTAATAAAATCACCATGAATTAAATAAATTGTGTCTTCTCTTACGTGGTAGAACCACTCCGCATGCAACTTATAATGACTGCAGAATAATTCAGTTGGCCCGATTGAAAAAGTATCACGCACGACCGGAATACTAGCGTGAAACAGCAGCCTAAGCTGTGTTGTGTGTGAGTGACGACAACCGGAGACCAGGAAATATTTTTTACTGGTAACGAGCCATTACAACTTAGTCCTCAGAGAAGATAACGAATCTGCAATTTGATTCGAGTGCATTATTGGTCCGGGTAGACTGTGTACTCGTTTGTCACCCTTACTGCATGAAGAAATTCGAAGATAAAAAGAAAATATTTTTATATCATTACGTAAGCATTAAAACTTGTTAAGTAACATTTAATACAAAATGATGAATTTAATAGATGACCCAATAAAAAGATAAAATTGCACTTTACATTTATTCTTGATTGACAGTTGTAATAGTATCTATATATTACATCACACCCCTTATTATATGTCAAAAAAATTAATTTGTTAGTAAATAAATAAGAAACAAAATAGTCAGTACAGTGCCACCAAGGTATGTGCTCAGGTGGACGAAATTGGAAGCATGGCTGCCATTTTATAAATAACATTTTGCTGTAAGCTATTATTTATTGTGATTTGAAGAGAGTGCTTTGTTAAATTTCATTGTGAAAAGTGTGTTTTGTTTGATTTTATTTTGAAAAGTGCAAATAAATATATATATACGTAGTCACCTATTGCCTCTGTAAATTTCTTAAGTGGCTCTCCACTAGTTAAGCAATGTTAGTAAGCTCTCCACTAGCAACTCTGTCATCTGAACAGTAAAGTTGGTGGCACTATAATTTATAAGTTACAAGCTTGCCAGTGTTAGGTTTTCTCCAATAAAACCACGGCACTTTACTTAGTTAACTGTTTAATCACTATATTCCGTGCTTAATCACACTCTCAAACTGTATATGAGTGTTTTAACACACTACACTTTACTTTTACAGAGAACACTATATTTTAATTCCACTTTGACTTACAATCTTTCGAATCACTTAATTTCACGACAGACTTAACTATTATAACCTTCTCAGTACCAATGTACGTATTCAACTGCCGGGCGTGTCAAGTGTAGGCGCTTTTATATTATGACTCGATTTTAGAATTAATGCGGGTAGTTTGAAATGGATTCATATTGGTATTAATTGTGAAGATTGCCATGTAATATTGCATAATGATTATTTATCTAACACTCGACCAATCCTGACACTAGACGCGTCCCCGCGTAAAAACAGTACCAAAGATATTAGGTTTTAAATTAACAATAATTACAATAAACTGAAATATGTATAGAAACAAATACCTATTTTTTTTTCACTTAGCACTGCCTAAATAGCACCATTTGGCATCGGTTTTCTCTTTTAACTGTAATGAATGCCGTTGCACAGAACGGTCCACACCGATACCACTCAGTAACGGCTCACTTTTATCTCTAATGAATGCCGTTGCACAGAACGGTCCACACTGATACCATACGGCACCAGCTCACTCTTTAAATCTAAGAAATGCCGTTGCACAGAACGATCCACACCGATACAATTCAGTAACGGCTCACTTTCTTATATCTAATGAATGCCGTTGCACAGAACGGTCCACACTGATACCATTCGGTACCAGCTCACTCTTTAACTCTAAGAGATGCCGTTGCACAGAACGGTCCACACCGATACAATTCAGTAACGGCTCACTTTCTTATATCTAATGAATGCCGTTGCACAGAACGATCCACACCGATACAATTAAGTAACGGCTCACTTTCTTACATCAACTCACTGCATTTTACTCACTATATTCATGCAATATCTATTACATTTTATTCTTAAATATTAAACCCATCCCTAAAATCTACAACAGAAAGGAGTTATCATAATATTAATTTTTGTGATGACTCTTAAATAATATCAAAACTAATATATAATAATCATATAAATTACTATTGTATTTTTCACACGTATGTATATTGAATTAACATTTTAATATATCTCTTCCTTTATATATCATTATTCTAGAACAAATATGACTTAACTATAAACTAGAACTACATATGTTAAAAGGACAATAATTTAGAGCAATACACGGATTAATAGGTATTTTACTCTGAGTCACTGGAGATTGGATCATTTTGGAATACCAACCAAGGGTGTATTTTATCTACTGGGTAAACTCCGACGTATGCCGCTTTACCTTCCTTTTTAGTAATGGGAGTGTCTTGAACCTCATATCGATCATGACCCAGGATTTTTGTTATTCTGTACGGGCCGGAACATTTCGGAACCAACTTTCTGGCCTGGCCCGGCGCCGTATACACGTCTTTCTCTATACGAACAAGATCTCCTATTTTATATTGCGTAGCTTCTTTTCTCGTTTTATCAAATCTGTTCTTTTGTTTCAGTTGTTCAGAAGAAATTCGTTGTTCAACGTCGTTGCGAATTTCATCTCGGTTTTGCAATTGCTGAGATTCAGCAACTACACTGTTCATAACGCTATCGCAACTTCCCGTAGGAACCACCCCAAATAAAGTCTCAGCAGGAGTTTTCCCAGTGCCTTTGTTAATTGTGTTATTTAATGACCATTGCACTTTAAGCAATACGGTATCCCATTCATTTTCAGGATGTCCATGATTAACAGAAGCGAGCGACTCTACGAGAGTTTTATTATATCGTTCAATCTGGCCGTTTGCTCGAGGTGTAGCGACCGCATTTAATATGTGTTTCATACCTTTCCCCACTACAAATTTGCTAAATTCATTACTAGTGAAGCTGGTACCGCGATCTGTAATTAACCGCCGCGGCACCCCGAATAATGCAAAGTATTCTTCAAAAATTTGGATACTCGTCTTACTTCTACAATCATGGACAGCCTTAAGATATATATATTTTGTAAAAGAATCAATGATTGCCAGTATATATTGATTCCTCTTTTTGCTTAACGGGAATGGCCCGCAATGATCTGCATGTATGGTGTCAAATGGTTTGCTTACCTTTTCAATAGGATGAAGCATTCCTTCCCTTGGTCCGGCTGGAATTTTATTATGAGCACATTCTAGACAAGCCTTGCAATATTTTTTAGTAAACTTTCTCATATTTTTAAACCAGTAGATCCTTTTGATACGTTCGTATGTCTTTTCAAACCCAAAATGACCGTTATTGTCATGATTCATTTTTAGTATTTGCCATCTTACAGATTTAGGAACTACCCAGAGCAACGTTACGGTATCGTTCTTTTTGACGATTCTATAAAGCTTGTCATTTTTTAATGTAAAGTTATTCTTAATTTCTACAACATGCTCACTTTCAGGATCTTGCAATATTTTTACTATACGCTGTAGTTCTGGATCTGACGATTGTACTGTTCCCAACCAAGCATCATTATTTACGAAGAGTACGTCAATTCTGTTTTCATTATTGTGCACATCAGTTCTAATAGGATTCCGGCTCAATGCGTCCACGTGAGCCATTTTATTACCAGGTCTATATTCGATTGTAAAATCGTATTCCTGCATAGATATCCACCATCTCGCAACGCGTGGCACTAAATCTCGTTTATTCATAGTGTTCCGAATGGCGCTACAATCCGTTACTGCTTTGAAATTCGTGCCTAACAGATAAACACGAAATTTCTGCAATGCCGTGACTAGTGCGAGAGTTTCTAACTCATAAGAGTGAAATCTCTGTTCCTCAGGTGAAGTCTGACGACTATAATATGCTACTGGGTGTACCGCATCATCGTGCCTTTGCATGAGAATTGCGCCAATACCCAGTTTGCTGGCATCTGTGTGGACTTCCACAGGTGCTGTTGGGTCATACAATGCCAGTAAAGGACGGCTTATGAGTTTCTCTTTTAACTTATTAAACGCATCCTTTTCTTCTTCTCCAAAACGCCAGCTAACGTCTTTTTTCGTGAGGTTTGTCAATGGTCTTGCAATCACTGAAAAATTCCTAACAAAGCGCCGGAAGTAACTCGAAAGTCCTACAAATTGACGAACCTCGTGTACATTTTTGGGTTCTGGGAAATTTGCCACGGCTTGAATTTTTAGGTTACCTGGTCGTATACCTTTCGACGATATTTCATATCCTAAATAATTTATTTGTGTTTGGAAAAATTGACATTTTTCAAGCTTCAAAGTAAGTTTTGCCTTACGCAGAAGTTGAAGTACCTTCTCTAATTTTTCTGTACCCTCTTTTATAGTTTTAGAAGCTATCAACAAATCATCCATGTAGGCGAGGGCCAGGCGTCCACCAGATCCCCGAAGCATTGTGTTAATAGCTCGCTGAAACACACTTGGTGCATTGGCCAGTCCAAACGGCATTCGGTTATATTCGAAAAGACCGTCAGGAGTGACGAACGCAGTTAAGTGTTTGCTATTTTCAGCCATGGGGATCTGATAATAACCAGACGCTAAATCCAAGCTTGTGAAGTAGCTGTTACCTCCCAAACAGTCCAATTGGTCTTCAATCCTCGGTAAGGGATATTTATCTTTTAAAGTTTTTCGGTTGAGCGCACGATAATCGATGCAAAGGCGTTTCTCACCGTTTTTCTTATTAACAAGAATCACTGGACTTGCGTAACATGAATTGCTTTCCCTTATTATACCGTGTCGTAACAGATCTTCTACAATAATTGTTAAATGCTCTCGTTCTTTGATCGACATCCGATAAGGATTATACACAACTGGAGTGTCATCATTGAGCTTAATGTTCATCTGAGTCAGATTAGTTTCACCTAATTCCGATAAATTGAGGGCAAAACAATCTCTATATTTAGAAAGAAGGACCTGGAACTCACTTAACTCGGACACGCTCAATAAAGTTCCGATTTTAACTTTATCGATTGGTAGAGGCTCACTGCTATTGGCAACATCTGTTAAACCAATGTATTGGTCATTTGTTTCATTATGGACCCACCCTCTGGCTATAACGGTATTTTCTTTTATTGATGTCATATTTTTACTAATATTTGTAACCATTAGGTAGCCGTGACCAGCAGTAAATTTGTATAGGCCTGGAAGGATCATGAACTCATTATTTAAAATTAGTCGATGTCCACCCACAACAAATAAACCACCTGTATAATTCGGCTCAGTATGAACAGAAATTGGAGACGTAGCACAACTATTTATTAATGAATTTGTATTGGAACATATCCTATATTTGACCATTTCATTGCAACATTCCTGACCAGGGATACTAGTGAATATTAATTCACTGCTAGATTTGTACATTATTATGTTAGGTTTTTCAGTGTAAGTGTGGCCAATGATAACCGGTACGTGCATGTAATGATCAGAGACTACTATCAGATCTACTTCCGCAGCCACTCCATCAATCTCGACCATAGCCCTTTAAGTCCTAGAGCTTTAACGATGGAGTTGCCGAAGCCATGTAAATTAGGTAAATTAGACGGGACCTCCCATTCAGTCAGTATATCCTTAGCATCCGATTCCCGGATCAAAGAACAACTACTCCCTAGATCTATATAGGAGGACCTTTTGATGCCATTAATCTTTATAGTTTTATAAAACTTTTTATTTGCACAAGCATTTGGTTGATCAATACAAAGTACTTTATTGTTCGTTCCCGTTTGATCCAATTGTTCAATTTGTTCACCTGCATCAGTTAAGGTACTGGAGCTAGAAGGTCGCTTACGACAATCCCTGGTTATGTGGCCCAACCGATGGCAAAACCCACATTTTTTAAGAGGCTTTGGACATTTTACGCTGATGTGACCAGCATCGCCACAATTAAAACAGCGTATGCCTTCAGAGCCTCTCATTGGGTCAGTTGCGTTTGTAACTTTACTACTCTGAGACTGTGGTGTTTCTGATAATTTTCCCTTTTGCAAGTGGGTCGTGCTATGAGCAATTGTCCTCAAGTAAGAAAACAGTTTTTCGGGTTCTTCGAACATGCATGCATTTGCACCCATGCGTACAAATTTATCATCAATACCGTGTATTATGCACCCAACAGCCTTTCTACCGGTAATTTCACATTTATTTAATAAGGCAATTTTGTCATAATAATATTCATCAAGAGACTGACCGAACCTGCAACGTATTTTTAACATTTTCGTAAGTAAATCTCCATAATTCTCGTTGGAAAGAAACGTAGCTCTCAGCTTACTGACCCATTCATCCCATGTAAATAGTAAGGAAGGCAGCCCCTGATACCACCTCTTAGCAAGGCCCGTTAACTTGGGTAACGCAAAATGACATATTTGCCTATCATCCCATGAGTATATTTTAGCACACTCGCTCACTTTATGAATCCACCATTCAATGCTTTGGCTATCAACAGAAGGATCAAATTCTGGTATAACATTAAAATTTGCCGTTATATTATTAGACCACATCTGTCCTCCAGTAGGAGCAACAAGAACAGCATTTGCGCTGTTTGTTAAACTTGATGTAGCTGGTGGTTCCATAACATAAGGTAGGGGCTGAGGATTCACACTTGCGACATTATGAGGCATGTCATTTGAGCTAATTCTTATCTGTGGTGACACTGTTCGAACCCTGGGCAACGGCGGAGTTCTTATCGAAACGCTCCTATTACGATTTCTACCTCGAGATCGATTTTTATTACTATGTCGAGATTTGCGATGATCGTGGTGCCGACAATGGGTTGATGGGGACCGTTTACGTTTTTGCCTACCATGGCGTCTTTGTTTACTACGACGATCAGGAGTACTAGAGTTATAAGAAGTTCCGATTGATGTTGATGAGCTTCCATAACGTTTATGAGCATGATTACGTCGCTTACGTCTGACCTGAGAACGTGACCTGCGTGGCGACCTCATAATATGAGTTTATTATTAATATCAGTTTTATTATTGAAAAAAACGCCCAAAATTAATTGTTAACATTTAGGGGTATTTTTACTCTTGTGTCTTAACTAACGGTAACAAATTAAAGGAAGAGAAATATTTATAATTACATGTTTAAATTAAAAGCTATCATACAGAGATATTGCAATTTCACTCTATAAGTTTTATGGTAATTAACAAATTTAAACAATCTGAGTAAAAAGGATTAAATTTATCTTATTTCAATTGAATTGTTTCAATCAAGCCTAAATTTCGTTATTTTTTCACTTATGTAGTCAAATAGTATTCACTGTACTATATTAAGTCAAATTGTATACACTGTGGGTGGCGGCCCGAAGATTTACACAGGTTGCCACTTATGAGATTAACACCGTAAGACACAGGATGTATCCACATACAAATTTATCACGAATCGCTAGAGAGGAATAAAAATCACTGACCTTGGTTCATAGTGAACTCACTTTAGCAGTCTTCTTTGCGTATACTCCAAATCGACTTTGAGACAGGATGTCTTGCGATTACGTGTGGGTTTTGTTCATCCCACTTCTGAATTTGTCAGGTTTTCTCCAATAAAACCACGGCACTTTACTTAGTTAACTGTTTAATCACTATATTCCGTGCTTAATCACACTCTCAAACTGTATATGAGTGTTTTAACACACTACACTTTACTTTTACAAAGAACACTATATTTTAATCCCACTTTGACTTACAATCTTTCGAATCACTTAATTTCACGACAGACTTAACTATTATAACCTTCTCAGTACCAATGTACGTATTCAACTGCCGGGCGTGTCAAGTGTAGGCGCTTTTATATTATGACTCGATTTTAGAATTAATGCGGGTAGTTTGAAATGGATTCATATTGGTATTAATTGTGAAGATTGCCATGTAATATTGCATAATGATTATTTATCTAACACCAGGCAGACGTTGTTCTGCCTTTTTCAACGACCCTGTCATGTCCTATTAAAAATCCTTAAATTCGCCAAAAAAAATTGTGGGTGCACTCATGGGCAAAAACCCTATCATATCTCTCAAGTTGGACCAAACTGCGCATAGTGTGCAAATTTGATTAAAATCGGTTAAGTAGTTTAGGAGTCCATCGCGGACAAACAACGTGACACGTAATTTATATATATTAAGATTTGTTAGTAATTACTCGTGGTTTATGTAAAAAAAAGTTGTACTAACTACCAGGGTGTCAGAATCGCTTCAGCAACTAAGCCCTTCGTTTATGAACGAGTGCAGTTCACACGTGGTAGAAGTTAAACCTTCGGAAAACTTAACATTGAGAGAATGTGGCGAATACAGTGTCAGAAGTAGGATACTTGTAAGGTTTATGTTATTAAAAAATATAAATAAACTAATAATAAACACTGAATACTGTATTCCATCTCATTTTCTCGCAGGCTAAATTCTATAGATGAATATGTTTGTCTCTTTTTAGTGTCACTTTTTAGTTTCATCTAGTTTCACATTGCCAATAATTCTAAAGAAGTGTTCACTCCAAATACACTTATAGAACACAATGTATGTCAGGACTCACCTAATATTGTTTGTATGCGTGTTATTGTGTGCGGCGTTCGGCTCTCCGTTCTCGCCGTACGCGGGGTATTTGTGCGGGATGCTCTTGTAGCACGAAGCACATATTTGTACCATTCCTAAACACACAATTTTAGTACTAGAGTGTTCGAATGCCATCCACGCGTCCATCATACGCTCGATTCGAATATTATGTCCGCGTTCTAACATTGAGGGAGGTTTTATCCTTCAATTTGAGAAATAATAGACCTTCGAATTTCTACTATAGCGTCCATTATACCTTGTGCACAAAACAAAACGACAAGGATGTTATTATAACTGTAAAAAACAATAATTGGTTACTAAATTTACTAAGTAATTTAGTTATTTAAGTGCCAGCTACAATACAATAATTACTTGAGGTAATGACGTTACTGCAATCAATGTAAAGTGGGTAAGCTAAGTAGACAGTGCCTGCTTATTATGCATTTTCAATTACAAACATCAAGCAAATGTTTCTTTGTTTATATATTTTAATAACTTATCCTTTCAAATGGTCGTGCTATCATCAAAAGCTTATAAAATAAATATACTTTAAATACATTTCGTAAATGTATTTTACACGAATTAACTGGAAAATAATTGTAATTAGATGACTCGCAAAGAGCATAGTTACAAATATAGTGATTAATACATACAACATTGTAATCAAAGGATGCGCATCATTAAGCATTAAACATTTATGTGTACATCACTGTGGTAATTAATGATAATTCTATTATTACATACCAAATTATCCTGACCTTTTGGCAAATTGGCCATTGTAATTTATCAAGTTAAAAAAACTGAATTATTTAAATAGGAAACTTTTCATAATTTTATTACATATACATTACAAAAAGTACCGTTTACTTATTTGAAAGCCATTATACTCTTATTTAGTCTGAGATATATTTACTTTGTAGTTCCACAATCTTCAAGTTGTGTATCCGCGAATATTAGAAAGCAAAAGAAAAAAACTGGCAACACTGGATCTGTTAATCATTCACTTTTTACGCACCTGTGTGTACGCAGGGTACGACGCAATAAACACCAAATTTTATTATACTCCCTCCTTGTCCTAGACATTCTTAACAATTGTAGTACGCCGCATTCCATGCCAGCTTCACAATTTATCCAAGCTCGCTAAAAAAAATTTTAAAGCAGTATATCTGGAACACTGTATCTACCCGTCCGTCAATGCAACTTCATTAAGTTTTTTTTGGGCCAGCCATCACGGTGTGTTTTTATAATTTTTGTTGTAAAAATTAAATATGTTTAGTGTAAAATCAAATATTTTGTATCCAAAACCTACTACAAATAAATTTATTACGTATCTGCGTGGTAATAATTTGATTATGTACTTGGGAAAGGAAGATATTCAAAATGGAGCCAACCGATCAAAGGTAAACAAAAATCCTATTGTTCGAGGTAGGTGCACGTATATATAAAATAAATAAAGTTAAAACATTTATTAAATAATGAAATCAGATTCATTGTGCCCATTTATTAACAAGTATGATAAATTATCGAACAAATTCACTATTAAGGGTTAGTAACATAACCTCGTCACTCATATAATATGAAATAGTAAATAGGTATTTTAACCTATAAATGTGGGTTGAGATACATTGTACAGAGATACGTTTAGAAATTTTAAGTGATATATATTAATATTTTTCTTACTTTCATTTACTTACGTTGGGCAGTCGCCATTATCAGTCATGAAAATTGGGGCAGCAGACCCGGAAATTATACACCCTGAGATTTAGTTGTATACCCTGAGATTAATTCTAAACTTTCTTTAGTATCAGAAAATCCTGATTATGAAAAGAAATAAGTGCTATAAATAAACTTAACTCATGGGTTTATTAAGGTTATGTAAACCTTTATCCACAAAAAATTGGCAGAACAAGTTAATTAAAAAAAGAATAAAGAATAACTGAATTCTGGACAAAATTATCCGGTGTGTAAGGGAGAGTCAGTTTACTAGTCCTTAAAATTGTTAATTCCCAAATAAATGGGATTTAATAGATGCATTTTTAAATCTAAAGACAGTATATTATTACATATTATTTTGTAGACACATAAAATAAAAAATAAAAAGCTACATAATATGACACCCCTCTATCAGGCATTTGGGCGTTGGTAGGTCTATGTGCAGCTGTGGACTTTTATAGACTGCAATGGATGGATGGATAATATGACATGAAAGTAAGAAAAAATGTGATATGAGAACTGTTTTACCTTGATATGGAATATCAAAAGGTTACAAGTTAAATACACTTAAAATATAAGTAAGCAAAAAGTGAGTAAAAAATAAGCATTTTATTTAAATAAGCTGTTTAGAAAAATCTGAAAGATTGAACCAAACCTATTATTCAAATTATATCCCTTGTGATAAATTGGGCTCCACACGTTGCGAATGAAACCAGATTAGACAAATATGCAAAACAAAAAATAGTATTGTAATCATCAGACTGAATTACAATAAATTTGTTAAATTATTAAAAGAATAATAAAAAGACAACAGATAGCCTGTAAAATGTTTCATGACTTAGAGAGACTTAGAATGATATAAAGAAAGAAAGAAGTGTTCAGCATCATTAATGATGCTAAACACTTCTTTCTTTCTTGTAACTTAGGTTATATTAAATTAGATAATACAGCTCGAATGCAATAATGTGCCTATGTTTGATTTCAATTAATTAATCATGGTCTAGATTTTTATTTAATTGCCTATTAGGGATGGGATATAGCAGAAATTTCTCTACATTATTTTCTCGTCTTATTATATTAATTGTTATATAATAATTACTATATTATATTCGTTTTACTATCTCAATAATAATAATTTATTGTTTACCTTCTTTACTCAGATTTTTAATTATATTTTGTTAATTTTTTAAAATTGACAATAATCTAAGTCATGAAACATTTTACAGGCTATCTGTATGTCTTTTTATTATTCTTTTAATAATTTAACAAATTTATTGTAATTCAGTCTGATGCTTACAATACTATTTTTTTGTTTTGCATATCTGTCTAATCTGGTTTCATTCGCAACGTGTGGAGCCCAATTTATCACAAGGGATATAATTTGAATAATAGGTTTGGTTCAATCTTTCAGATTTTTCTAAACAGCTTATTTAAATAAAATGCTTATTTTTTACTCACTTTTTGCTTACTTATATTTTAAGTGTATTTAACTTGTAACCTTTTGATATTCCATATCAAGGTAAAACAGTTCTCATATCACATTTTTTCTTACTTTCATGTCATATTATCCATCCATCCATTGCAGTCTATAAAAGTCCACAGCTGCACATAGACCTACCAACGCGCAAATGCCTGATAGAGGGGTGTCATATTATGTAGCTTTTTATTTTTTATTTTATGTGTCTACAAAATAATATGTAATAATATACTGTCTTTAGATTTAAAAATGCATCTATTAAATCCCATTTATTTGGGAATTAACAATTTTAAGGACTAGTAAACTGACTCTCCCTTACACACCGGATAATTTTGTCCCAGAATTCAGTTATTCTTTATTCTTTTTTTTTTTAATTAACTTGTTCTGCCAATTTTTTGTGGATAAAGGTTTACATAACCTTAATAAACCCATGAGTTAAGTTTATTTATAGCACTTATTTCTTTTCATAATCAGGATTTTCTGATACTAAAGAAAGTTTAGTTTTAATCTCAGGGTATACAACTAAATCTCAGGGTGTATAATTTCCGGGTCTGCTGCCCCAATTTTCTGACTGATAATGGCGACTGCCCAACGTAAGTAAATGAAAGTAAGAAAAACATTAATATATATCACTTAAAATTTCTCAACGTATCTCTGTACAATGTATCTCAACCCACATTTATAGGTTAAAATACCTATTTACTATTTCATATTATATGAGTGACGAGGTTATGTTACTAACCCTTAATAGTGAATTTGTTCGATAATTTATCATACTTGTTAATAAATGGGCACAGTGAATCTGATTTTATTATTTAATAAATGTTTTAACTTTATTTATTTTATATACACGTGCACCTACCTCGAACAATAGGATTTTTGATTTCTTAAATTTACGCGAACACTACACATTGAATAAAACTAAATTTACGGATTTTATCGCGTTTATTTCACTACTTTTACTTATTTTTAATTCCCGACGTTTCGGGTGCTTTACAGCAACCATGGTCTCCCCCGTGACCATGGTTGCTGTAAAGCAACCGAAACGTCGGGAATTAAAAATAAGTAAAAGTAGTGAAATAAACGCGATAAAATCCGTAAATTTAGTTTTATTCAATAGGATTTTTGTTTACCTTTGATCGGTTGAAATTTCTGCTATATCCCATCCCTAATAGGCAATTAAATAAAAATCTAGACCATGATTAATTAATTGAAATCAAACATAGGCACATTATTGCATTCGAGCTGTATTATCTAATTTAATATAACCTAAGTTACAAGAAAGAAAGAAGTGTTTAGCATCATTAGGTTTTAAATAGAATGATGAGTTGCAAATGCATTAATGGCCTACAGCGGTACATAAAACATCAATCTGGAAAAATATAAAATTACATACTTCACTAATTAAAACAGTGGTAAATTAAACAATTAAAAAGAAATTTAAAAATAATTATAGGAAATAATTTTCTATTGTAAGATATTAAAAAGTTATGACAAGTTAAAAATAAGTAATATGTGAAGTAATAATTAAAAAATAAAATAAAGATGGATTTATTCAGTAAAATTAAGTATGGTATCATTCATACCTATCATGTTATTATTATCACCTTCATAACTAAAACTAGGTATGGTAAAAGCACAATAGAGTTATGCTGACAGATGCATACACTGATTGCCAAAATATGTTAGCAACAAAATAAATTGTTGTAGTAAGAGGAAATTATGTAAAAATACTTATATAAATAGTGACTAGATATATTGTGCATAACCCATTTTGGTTGCTATTAGTAAAATGAGGTTAATAATGTTTTGCTTAAAACCTTATTATATATAATAATGTATATTATATAATGTTATGTAATATATATTCAGTGGCAAATTACTGACCTTAGATGGTAGTTAATA